GGGGTTTTCTCCCGCTGGATCCGAAACACCGACCCGAAACTTCCGTGTCCTGTAAGCACCTGCTGCTGGTGGAAGGCGAGGACGCCATGGCGTCTCTCCAGATACTCCTCAAACAGAGCTCTTATTGCTGCTGCCACAGCGCGTCTTTTCTCAGCTCCTACGCCATCCCATAGAATAGTCCGAGGAGTGATATTAACCTATTCATTATATGTCATAATACTTTCAATGGCTCGAATACCTCACTTGTGCTTTACAAAATGTCATAAATGAAACGGATTTTTCTCAAATATTTCTCAATCATGGAACTATCTGGAAGTATGGGAGAGTCATGCTTCGGCACGAATGGTTCGGCTCGAGAGGAGTGATACCACAACCTCACAGAAATCCGGTGTGAAACAACCACAGCTTTGTGTTTCGCCGTGTGAATGAGGTTACAAGAGGCCAATTCTTCCCCTACCCCAATCACTAAATCTTCAAATCCCTAATCCCCAAAAGGTCGGCAACGCACTCGTAACTCCTTTGTTGCAGGTGTCCATGTGCGGCGCTAATTGCTTACCATCAGGTAATTCGTCAGCTGGTTGGCCGACATTAAAAAAATAACAAAAAATTTATTCACTTTTAGGCAAAAAAAGAGCTCTCTTTTGCTAAAAGATACTAATAAACAAGTAGAAGTTACATTTTAATATCTGTATACCCTTTCGGGGAAAAAACCTTATTGCGTTATGTTTTGTTTTCAATATTATTATGTACATATTGTGGAGTATTGAACGACCACTAGACGTATGCTTCATTGGACTTTAGCCAACCATGAACAGTAGGCATTAGTTTGATCTTATGTTTTGTTATTGTATCACGTATATTGGAGACCTTTGACCTTGACCGAAATTTATATAATAATGCGGCTTAGAATATATTTACCAGTACCTTTACTATTTTTGCGGATGTTGTAAGAGCCGAATTAGGGATGTCGTGGTGGAGGTTAAAACGCCCGCTTCTCATGCATGAGGGTGTGCCTTCAAAACCTGGCAAGTAGCAATGTGACTTTTTCCGAATTATATTTACATTCTATGATTATTTCGACACAATGCGTCTACAGTGACGGGAAACATCGTGAAGAAACCTTTTTTTTTTGTCAGGGGAAATTCATCCAATGACCTTTCCCGCCCAGGGCAAGGCAAGAGAGAGTGTCCGACTCTTACTGACTAAAAACCCCTCCGCTCCTTCTTCTGCTCTGGGCCGAGGTCGCGGTGCCTCATTGCGCTTACCCCGCAACATCGTAAAGAAACCTGGAATTATAATTTCAAATTATAAGTTTGAAATCGCCAATCCGCCTCGAGAAAACGGGGTGATTAGTGCTCATAACTTTTTAGTGTGAGAAGAGGCCTTTGCTCAGCAGTAAGCACTTATAGCCAGATGATGTGATGATGTGAGATTAAGGGATAATACATGTACATGTTACACATCAACAGTGTTCCATTAAGAATCAAACTGAATGGACCTAATTCAAATCCCCAACCACCAAATCAATAATGGAAGGTTATTTAAAACATCTCTTATGAAGGTTAGAAAGGCATTTTCTAAGCAAGCAGCCACGACCAGCAATGGACGTTACGGGACATTGACGTTGTTGTTGACATCAAAATAAAATTTGGTACCACTTATCTAAACCTATTAAGCGGAACCCAAACTTAAGACTAAGCTTTAGGTTTTCAAAGAAAACACGTAGCGTATTGGTAAAATTTTGGTCGTTCGAAAAACTGTGTGAAAGGTAAATTACCCTAATCTTTTTAATAATATTGGAAAGTGTGTTATAGGTTTTACTTCAAAACATCAAGTAATTCGACGAATTTTTTGTAGCCATAAAATCTTTGAATATGACATATGTAAAGGAAAATACATAATATTATCCCATAATGTGTTTCTTCAAAGTTGTATTGGACAAATCCCTCACATAAAGGCATAAAGGTAAAGTAAGCAAAGGTAAAGTGCTTCTTGACTTATAATCGTCAAAGCGATCCATATTAAATAATTATAATTATTTTCTGCGATACACAAAAAATATAATACGAGTAATTACAACCTTTGACGTTTAGCAAAATGTATATCTATTACATTTTTCTTAACGTCATGTTGAAATTGTACTTCCTAAAACAGATGAGAAAATAATCGAATTCAATCTTTTTTGTAATGACAAATGTCTAGAAAGACGTTTAAAAATTATTCACATTAAAACTAGTTATCTCGAAGAGTATACTCTGGCTATACTAACTTTTAAACTTTCGCGTTTTATATTTACAACATAAATTACGCAGGTATTAACGCGAAAGTAATTATCTAAATACCTTAGTAGGCTTGATATTTCGACCTGGTTGCACAGGTCGTGGTCACAAGCGACTGCTTGTTATTTTAGACAAATATTTTCACGTTAATACCCGCGTAATTTATGTTGTTACTCTGCCTTGTAACAATTTGGCAAACATCATAAAACTAAATAAAATCAACTGCTTTAACTTTTAAAGTATAGAGTACGTTACCACAAACTTAGGTCATAATTAGTACCAAAACTTGCCGCTTCACCCTAATGTCGCTAGCTTCCCTCAAAATAAATAAAGGGGAGACTGAGTAGAGTTTCCTTTTTCATAACTAGGTGGTGTTGGGATCGAGTTAGATCGCGCTATGGTTTCGTTACACGCGTTTCATGACCCCCGAGGCGAGCGTGCTCACACGATAAGCAATCTGTATCCGCCTATACTCTGATCTTTAAAATTGTATCATCCAATAGGAGATACAATTATATTTTTGTAAACTGTTCACCGGTGAACAGTTAAGAATAATATAGAACTGATACACTTTTGTATTAATAAACCTTGTTTTATTGTGTGGCATTGTATTAGGCTGACCGTAGTATTACCAGCCATTTTATTCATGCATGTATAGTCAATTTAATATGTGTACAATATTAGGACCTAGTACACCGTTTGATGGATGTTAAGTCAAACTTATATTTTATATAAAGACGTTCAATATAAAAAAGTGTTAATTAAACTCAAAGATAGCAGGAGGAAGAACTTCATAATCATCACCATCATATCATATCTATATAATAATTGGGCAGTTTCCTAGGTCAAAAATAAATTAATTGACGTTTCAGTACAATTAAATATCGAAAAATAACTATATTTTTATTCACCAAGCGATCTATATATAATTGATATGAATTTTAGATATGTTTTAGCTAACTTTTAAGATAAAAGTAAGCTATTACGCAAACATACTATGACGTCATAACTCATCATATATCATCGTAGAAAAGTATCTTTTTTGACGTTTGAATAAAAGTATTGAATTTGACTAGTTGGAAACTACCGTATTGTATTGTTAAGATAAAGCATTCCACTCGATGTAAACATAAATATTACAAATACAAATAACAACTGTTTTAATGAGCATTGCATAAAATTAACACAAGAGACTGCAGTATGCAGTAATAGTAACTTAATTAGTGCACCCACGAATTGCGAACAATATTTGGTTCATTAAAATATAGCTTTAATGATGTTAAAAGGGAAGTTTGACTTATATATTTACTTATACTGTTAATCAAAATTTTCATAATTATTATCTTTGGGGTTGCAGTCACTCATTTTAATGTCGTATTGTTTATTTTTAAGACTGATTTCGATACAATTGAATTGCTATATTCTACATAATATTTTGTCATATAATGTCTTATCATGGTGTCCCAGAGAGCAAGGCACCCGCTCCCCATGCTCGAAGTTCGAAAACTAGGCGCTAGAAAAACTCTAAATTGTTCCATATAAATTCTTGTGATACAATCAGCTGATAATTACAATGAAACAACATTCCCCTAATCCCTCCTCAGTCCTAAATCTCCAAATCTCTAATCCCTATAAGGTCGGCAACGCAATCGTTTTCGAATTACATGTACTTTCTAAGTTAATTTAACTATCATAGATGAATAAGAACAGCTTGGGGACACCTTTTTTTTGTGAGGGTAAAATTATCTAATGACTTCTCACTCCCGGTGTCGGCGGGAGAGAGTGTCAGACTCTTACTGACTAAAAACTCCCCGTTCTTTCTCCTGCTCTGGGCCGAAGCCGCGGTGCCTCGTTGCGCTTGCCCTGCAACCTCGGATCTCGAAGACACCTGGACTTATAATTTCTAATTTTTATTTAAAAATCGCCAATTTGTCTTTAGTAAGCGTTGTGAGTAATCCCTAAAATCTTTCCGTGTGAAGCAGGTTTTTCATCATCACTGAGTGCTTATAGGATGATGATAAGATGTATATTATGAATGGTCACGAGGCTTCCAACAAAATAAGATAATTGTTACTAAAATATACGCAAAGCAACATAATAACTCCAAACATATCACACATATTGTAAAAGAGACCCTCAGATTACGGGTTTGGGTTTAAATCATAACGGCACGAGGATAACGATATCATTCACAAAAGTTCCATTCAATCGATGTCACACCTGAACCAAAACAGGTCAGGACCTATTACGTACGTTCTCGAAAATGATGAAGAAAGAACCGGATTTTTTGCAGACTATCCAAAAAAATCTACATCCCTACTTATTATAACTACATCTTACGTCCGGAAGCCTTTATAAAAGTATAGTTATACAATATCTATACTTATTATAATATACCTAGGTAATGTGTTTGAGATTTGACGTTCACCATAATAAAAAACTATGAAATAAAAAAAAAAGAAACAATCCTGACTTTTTCACGAATCTATTTATCCGATGAATTTTAAAAAATGTGTAATATTAAGATTTTTATGCCACTAATTAAAAAAAAAACCTTTATTTTTTGAGAGGTGAGAGAGAAAGTGACAGACTCCCACTGTCGAAATACACCCCGTTCCATTTCCTACTCTATTCCGAGGTCGCGGTACCTTATAAATTGCGTTTGACCCGCGCCACCTTCCTTAATCTTGTTATTTATGCAATATGTTTCTTTGTCTACAGGCAGCAGAGAGCGGCAATGTAGAGGATTTCATGCGCCTGTACCTGAGCGAGCCCTCGCGGCTGGCAGTCAGGGACGGTCGCGGTCGTACTGCAGCGCACCAAGCAGCAGCTAGAAACAACACCAACATATTGCACTTCATCAATAACTACGGAGGAGGTATGAATCAAACACATTTACTCACACGAGGGACCTTGCAAATGTTTGCAAATACATCAATAACAGTTTACGGCTTTCTCTCGTAACTAGACTTGTTTCAAGGCGATCTAAAGGCTTACACTACAACTATATGTATATGTTATTTTATAAACTTTCTACTACTCAGCAAAATTGCAGAATGAATTATAGTCAGGGGTATTACTGAGCCGATGCAAACTTCAAAACTTCGAAACTTGAGCTTACTTCTTGATAGGCCGGCAACGCATTTGTTAACTTGGTGTTGCAGTGGTCCATAGGCGATGCTAATCACTTACCATCTGACAAATAGACTGCTTGTTTGCCTCCCATTCTATAAAAAAACTTTGTCTTTATACATAATACTCCTATATCAATCTGAAAAGGCGATAAATTGACTATCAGACTTTTCTCAACAAGGTTCCGATTTCTTTAGAACTTTCCAAAAAAATTATAAATTATCCTGAAAAAAAAACAAATACACACATTATTATGAACACATGTCTGCATTTTGCACAATACACGAAATTAAAACCACAACGACCCTAACGGTTCAACAAATTACACCGACCTTGCATCCATTTATGGCAAATGGTGGTCCAAAAGTGTGCACGCAAATATACACCTTTCATTTCCGATGGCAGGCCGGCGCAACAGATGTTTGCTTGACTCCCTTACATAGAAAGGTTTTATATCTTTATATATTTTTTAAAAGATAATAATAAATGACTTAACACTACATTTACAAAAACTACATCCTCCTTTTTCCTAACTTAAAAATTTACTTAAGAACCTTGTCCAAGCAACACAGGCAAAGCGAGGAAATAATAGTATTAAGCGCAGTAATCAGGTTAACATATGTACAACAACGTTTAACCTGATTCCTAACTAAGCTTGAGGTTGAGGTATTATAGTGGACTCCTAATGAATGTCACTCAGTAACAGTGGCGCTGCGTATAAGCCTGAGCCTTGGGGACTCCATAAGACGATGTTTAAGATTTTTCACTATAAAAGGTATCCTGAATATAAAAAAATAGGGAATCTTGGGAAAAAAAGAAAATAGGAAATAAACTGGAGATTTAGTCGGTCGCAGCGCAAGCCTGTGTAAATTAATACCTTGTAAGCTACTGAGTCTTGAGAAATAGGAAGAGATTGCTGTAAAAAAAAACATGTTATTTTCGACATAACTGGTATTAGTATAATTGTAGATAAGGTTACTTTGTTTGGTCATCAATTACACACAATTTTCGCATTTTTTAAGTTTTAAGAGTTTGTTTTAGAAAAAATATTTAAGTAAAATTAACTCCTATTGCCACCATCATCTCCTTCTTCCTTATTTTAAAATAGAGTAGTCAAAGTTGGCTTTGCAGCCAAACAAACAATAGTAGCTATACAATATACAGGGTGTAAGGGACACCTTTCACCCTGTATACATATGTTAAAGGTACCTTCTAAGATTTATTGTAATATATTTTATGTATCTATTATTGTCATGTTTAACGCCGATTTCAAGTATCAACCCAAAGTCTGTTATAATAAGTCATTCTTTAAAAAAAAAAATACCTTAAAATATTTTTTTAAAATTAAAGTTAAAAAGTTGCAATTTAAAAGACTGTGGAATTCGATAAACATTTAAAAAAAACTTTTCAAGGAATTTTTAACGAGGTATCAAAAATATTTTCACGACTAGATATTTTCTTTTAAATTCCATAAAGATTTAGACACTGTATATTATTTTACAATTTTTATTGTCGACAAAAATAGATGTCATCTGATCAACCTTTCAGTGTTCTATCAATTAAAGGTCGATAAAATTAAAATTAAAACCCACACAAATCAGATGTTATGTCTGGATAAACCGGACCGGTGACCGTGAGCGTTGACAAAGGCGATCGGGATAGACCCCTGCGCCCGGCGTCACGGCGCAGGCGCACGGCTCCCTAACGGGCTTAAATAAGCCATCAGCATTTTGAAAACTTCCGCGGGCGCGATAACTTGTTGCACTCATAGTTGATGTAGTTTGTTACCCGGTCTTTTAGTGATGAGTCGGTTCTGGGCTTCGGTGATCGATGCCACTGCTCATCTAGCTTCTCTTGGTATCAGAGGTGGCAGCGGATCCCATTGTTTCACTCGTCAAAACAATTTAATCGCGTTGGGATTTGTGCTCAATGGAGGTGCAGGTAAGTAACTTATACGCCGTTTTTTGTTTATATTCTTTTTTTAAATTGTGTAAAGAGTTTTGAATTATAAATTAAATTATTATGAATTTTTTGCTTGTTTTTTATAGGATTAATGATAAAAAACTTATTAATAATTTGGTGAATATGGATTTTAAACTTCGGTTTCTAATTTGTAACGATAATTAAAAACATGAAATGTTGTTTAACTGCTAAAACCACAAAATAATGCGTCAACTTCTTGTAATATAATTTCCTTTATTTCTTCACTTTTTTGTAATTATAATGAAACAACTTTTTACTAAGTTTCAAATGTAGTTCGTTCTAAATGTATTCTGTCAATTGTTTTGAATACAGTATTAAGGATATGTTTTTAATGAATATATGTAAAGATCATAATAATAACAGGGAAAAAAATCCTATTATACACTACTAATTATATTTATTTAAATGATTAAGAGTGATTGAATATTAATATAATAGAAGATTTATATATTGTTTATATTTTTCTTGTTGGTTTCTAAATATTTGTGTAATTTATTGTATTCTCAAATCAAAGAGCAAAACTTCACGTAGAATATTTTTTCGACTCATTATCGAAACTTTTTAGAGCTATATTCTGCAGTTAGATAAAAATATTATTAAACTAGGTACGGTGTTCATGTTCTTTTTAAAATATCCTTTGATACCACCTTCAAAGCAACAGGTAACTTGGATAAACTAATTTCTCGGAACTAGGTCGAGGTTAGCGCTAGCGGAAACTTTCAAGTATATGGAAAATGCATTAAATAGACTTTTTTATTCATATTGCTTTTACCATATTATGGATCCTGGTACTCGACTTCGAACCAATAAAGTTACCTATACATTTTATTTTCCAAGAACTGAAGGATACGAAGAGTGAATTTAATAATAACTGGTAGTCTTTTTTTTATTTAGAAAATCACGTGTCCCAGTTTTAGCCAGAGTTCAGATCAGGATCAATAGGATTTTTAAATTTGCAATAAAATCAGGCCAAGCCTAGACCAGGTCAATTAGAAACGACGACTATATGTCACTATTCACGCCAATAAAAAACTGGCACTGTCGAAAGTCATTAAAAATATGTTAAACAAAATCTGTTGTGACTTACCGGGATTTGTAATTAATCCAAATCAGGGTCATTTAATCCAAATAATTGCTTTCGATACATAATTGTTCGTAAAGAACAGTCAAGGTAATTATTAAAATAATGTTTCTGCATTCGGCAGTCATCACGACTAAACACCTGCATGTTTATTCAGTTATTGCGCTTGACATCAGTACTGTTGGGTTTCATCTGTGGTGGTCTATGTGGTCCTTGAGCCGCGCACGGCATGTTACGCACCTCAGGTTCGGCTCTGGTTGTGGTCGAGCGGCAAGCTATCTCAGAAGGGATGGAAAGACACTATAGCGATTTAGGTAACAGAAAAAAATAATAAAAAGAAAATGTTGAAAGTAATTTATTATCGAACTCTATTTATTTTAAATTATGTTAAAGGTTACGTAACATTTTTACGTGCTAACTCATCTTATTTCAATTGGGACGTTTTAACGTAGTCAATTAAGTACTTTTTTCTTTAATAAACTTTTATATATCATGAAACGTCCAACAAAACACATACTTACATGAATACCATTTAAGAAGAAGTCGTAAAAGTTGGTCGTGTTTTTATTATATCAACTCCGTAATCTTTTTTTAATAATAATCTGAGTAACATGTGAAAAAGACGGATGAAAAGCGATTGCATGTAGCAGAGATGAGAATGCTGAGATGGATGTGTGGTGTGACGAGAATGGATAAAGTGAGAAATGAGTATATTAAAGGAAATTTGAAAGTGGCGCCAGTGACTGAAAAGTTGAAAGGGAACCGTTTGTCTTGGTATGGCCATGTGAAAAGGAAGGATGAAAAGCATGTAACAAAAAAAGTCATGAGTATAAATGTGGATGGATGGAGAGGGAGGGGGAGACCAAAGAAAATATGGATGGATTGTGTGAGAAGTGATATGGAAGACAGAGGAGTTAGCGATAGCGTGACGAGTGACAGGACAGAATGGAAGAAAAAAACATATTGCGCCGACCCCAAATAAAACGGGACAAGGGCAGGAAGATGATGATCTGAGTAACATGTGGGTGTAAAAGAAAAAAAAAACAAATACAATCGTAACCAATTAATAACAGCATAGTTTCGGAAATACATAAATTCGAAGAAAATATATATTTTTGGTAAAGATGAAAATAAAGTCATTGTATCGCTTGCCAATGTAATGTGATAAGCAACCAATATTAAGTATTTGGTTTCGAAAACAATGTTCGTCAAAACAATAAAATTAATTTTGTGAATTGTTATTTTTGGTTCAATCTATTCTTAAATAGCTATCAGATTTTTCTCGATGTGGAGGAATGCAGAGGCGTGATTTCACCCACTATTTTATATAAACATCTATGTAAGAAATCGTCTTTTTCTCTTTGTGGTCCTTAATTACAGTGACTTTAACTTCATAAAACTTTCAAGAAGCTATGTCCGTCTTTTGCCTGAGGTCTTCAGAAATGAGGACTTTTTTACTCGGGACAATTTCCTTTAAGAAACTAGTTACACCATAAACAAACAGAAAATACTCCATACCTATTCTATTCACACATAGAAAAAATAGTAATCATTTTTGTGTTACACAAAATAGAAGCCAATCGCTTGAAACTTAGAAATGATAACCGATTGGCTATTAATTTATAAGGTTAAACTTTCGAGTTTTATGTTTCTGCGACTTAGAATAAATTACGTGGTTGTCC